GTTTTTTTGATTTCTTCCGTTTCTGTGATAAAGCAACAAACCATAGGCCTTTCCCAGGTCCCCTCGTGAAGCCCCTGGGCCCACCTGTGCTTTGTCTTGGCTCCTCATGTGACCCCACAGCACTGACAGAACGCTGGTGTTTGTGTTTGCGTGTGAGCTGGGGATGAGGCGTGAGGGGGGGTCATCACAAACAGAACATTTGGTATTTTCTAATAACCTTCCTCTCTGGCTGTTCTTTCCTGGCAGGATGACAGTGCCGATTTGAAGTGCCAGCTTCAGTTTGCCAAAGAGGAAGCCTCCCTGATGCGCAAAAAGATGGCCAAACTAGGAAGGGAGAAAGACGAACTGGAACAGGAGCTGCAGAAGTACAAGTCCCTCTACGGCGACGTGGACAGCCCCCTCCCAACCAGGGAGGCCGGCGGGCCCCCCAGCACCCGGGAGGCGGAGCTGAAGCTGCGGCTGAAGTTGGTGGAGGAGGAAGCCAACATCCTGGGCCGGAAGATCGTGGAGCTGGAGGTGGAGAACCGAGGCCTCAAGGCGGAGATGGAGGACATGCGGGGCCCACAGGAGCGCGAGGGCGCGGGCCGGGACCCCCTTCCAAGCGTCCCGACCTCACCCTTCGGCGACTCCCCAGACTCCTCGGCGGAGCTGCGCCGGCACCTGCAGTTTGTGGAAGAGGAAGCGGAGCTGCTCCGGAGGTCCATATCTGAGATCGAAGACCACAACCGGCAGCTGACCCGTGAGCTGAGCAAGTTCAAGTTCGAGCCCCGCCAGGAGCCAGCGTGGCTTGGGGACGGCGTGGGTCGGGGCGCCGGCGGCGGGCCCCACTTGCAGGAGGAGCTGCAGGCGGCCAGGCTGCAGATCAGTGAGCTCAGCGGGAAGGTGCTCAAGCTGCAATATGAGAACCGCGTGCTGCTGTCCAGCGTCCAGCGCTGCGATCTGGCCGCTCACCTGGGGCTGCGTGCCCCGAGCCCCCGGGACAGTGACGCCGACAGCGACGTGGGCAAGAAGGAGAGTGACGGCGAGGAGGGCCGCCCACCCCAGCCCAAGCGGGAGGGCCCCGTGGGCGGGGAGAGTGACTCAGAGGAGATGTTCGAGAAGACGTCGGGCTTTGGGAGCGGGAAGCCCTCGGAGGCCAGCGAGCCGAACACAGCAGAGCTCCTGCGGGCGAGGGAGGACCTGGACTGCCTGGTGACCATAAGGCATGAGGCCCAGCGGCTCGAGCGGACCGTGGAGCGCCTTGTCGCGGACACCGACCGCTTCATCCGGGACACCTTGCCACCGGGGCCTGGTGTCCAGGGCGAAGGGGAGCGGGGCGAGGGGTGCCAGAGTGAGCCCACCCTGCTGGAGACCGTCAACGCCAAGATGAAGGCCTTCAGGAAGGAGCTGCAGGCCTTCCTGGAGCAGGTGACCCGGGTGGGCGACGGCTTGTCGCCCTTGCCCCACCTCACGGAGTCCTCNCCAGCGGCTCGAGCGGACCGTGGAGCGCCTCGTCGCGGACACTGACCGCTTCATCCGGGACACCTTGCCACCGGGGCCTGGTGTCCAGGGCGAAGGGGAGCGGGGCGAGGGGTGCCAGAGTGAGCCCACCCTGCTGGAGACCGTCAACGCCAAGATGAAGGCCTTCAGGAAGGAGCTGCAGGCCTTCCTGGAGCAGGTGACCCGGGTGGGCGACGGCTTGTCGCCCTTGCCCCACCTCACGGAGTCCTCCAGCTTCCTGTCCACTGCCACCTCCGCGTCCCGGGACTCCCCCATCGGGACCCTGGGGAAGGAGCTGGGCCTGGACTTGCAGGTAAGGGGGCTGGCAGCCCCACATCCCTGCTGCGTCTCGCTGCTCCTGCTCGCTGGCGGTGCTGCACTAGGGCTCGTCCTGCTCAGGCTGCTTGGCTGCGATTTCACTCCTGCCTTACACTAAAGCCTCGAGGGTCAGCCGAACCCTTTCTTATCGGTTGGGTTTCTTTTTTTGCTTTGTTTTAAAGTTCTCTTTTGTTTCCTCGTTTCTTTGCCCTTTTTTCTCTCTTATTTTTAACTGCGCCGCTGCTTGTGGCTTAGAGGTCCTCTCATGACACAAGGCTAAGCCCAGTGGCAGCCATAGGGGTGATGCAGCCCGTCCTTGCACCTCCCTTGGTGTTTCAAACAACCAGCTGCCCTGATGAAGAAGCAAAGACGAGTGTCAGACAAACACGGGACAGTCAGGATAATTAGCAGACTTGCTAACAAGCGTCCACGTCCCTACTTGGGTTGATTACCAGAGGGACCCAGGGCAGTTCTGCAAAGCCCTAGGCAGCCCAGGCTCACCCACTCCCGCTGGAAGAGTAGCCAGAATGGGGAGAGAGCACTTGGGAGAGAAGGATGTTGTGATGGAAAATGTCGTGGCTGTGGGCTCCTGCCGCCCTCCCCAGCAGAGTGAGGGCAGAGTGGAGGCCCTTCGAGGATGTGTCCCCTGCGTTGCCCCATGGGCACGTGGCCCAGCTGCTACCCTGGATCATGGCTTTTGCTGCCAACCCACAAGTAAGGAAGGAAGAGCCTTGTGTCTGTATCCTTCATGGGTGGCGTGCTTGCAGTCGAGTCTTGTTCCCGCATCCCCATCGCATGTGCCTCATAACCAGTATTTGCGTTCTCTCCCCCTTCCTCTTTTTGCTTTCCAGATGTTTCAGCCCATCCTTTTGCTCATCCTCATCTCGGTTCTCTTTGCTTCACTCTCTTATGTCACTGTAGTTAAGTTGGCTTTTCTATTCACGCTTTTCTTTGTCTGGTAGTTTTTTCAGTCGTCCACTTTACCCATTTTTGTTTTCTTTGTCCCCCCCCTCCAATCCCACCACCGTATCCTTTGTTTTCTGCTTAAAATTAAAAACAAAAAACAAAAACAAATCCCTCCCGTGCACCTAACAGTCCAAACTGAGAGACCAGCTGGAGTGGCAGCTGGGTCAGGACGGCGGGGACGAGTGGGACGGCCTGCGCCTCCGAGCTACACAGGAGCTGCACCGCCGGGCTGATGGGGACACCGGGAGCCGCAAGCCGGGAAGCCAGAGCTGCTTCCATCTAGAGGTTAGCAAGCTGGTGGGCCCCACTACTATACCCCACCCCCACCCTCCCACCACTCTGGCTGTGTGGCTGTGTGATGTTTCCTACCTGGAACAAGGCTCTTAGGGAACACGGCAGAGAGATGTGGAACTGGGTGGAACTTACCCAGAGTCACATCCGTTGCATGGAACTGGAATTGCTGGAGGGTGTACCCAGCTGTGTGCAGGTGAACTGCCGCACTTGTCGGACAGGAGTCATGGCTTACTGCAGGCACCATCTCCTGTAGGCCTGTTTCCCCAGGGCCCATGGGCGCCTAGAGATGTGACATTTGTGAACATTCAATGGTGTCTTATCCAGTAGCTGGGCAAGTAGGGACGAAAACCAAGCATGATCTTTCCTAGTCTGGAGGAAACTCCTTCAGGTTTCCCTTTCTAGTTCTTCATTGCCTGTGTCTTGTGTGACCCATGGTTTCTGGTGACATTGTTCCAGCCATTTGATGGAATCAGGGAAGTCCAGTCCTGACCTGTGGGTCCTCAGCAGTCTGTTGCCATAGTAACCCATGTACACAGAGCTCTAGTCCCTGCCACAGTTGTCAGCAGTCCTGTAAGACCTTCTGGTCAAGTAAGGGTATTGGCAGGGCTGGAGCCACATATGCTTCATTATAGAAGGACTATAATTTCTCCCAGATACTGATGAAGATTCTTAATGTCCCAGTCCCCATGGGGCTGTTAGCCCTTAGGTCCGAGGCATGGGAGCGGCTCCCACAGGGCAGGAATGAGCGAGGTGGGGACTAATAGCCAAAAGCAAACAAGCTCCCGCAGCAGCAAAGCCAGGAAATGAAGCGAACAGAGCACACGCGCTGGGGCAGGCTGGGGCTTGCAGCTTCATCTGCTGCTGCTGACTCAGTTAGGCTGCAGGTCCCACTGTCAGGTGAGGTGCAGTGAGCTTGCCCCTTACCCATATGAGTTCAAGTACCTTTAGTTTGGGGCTTTTTTCCTTGCCCTGTATGAGAGTGGGTCATATCTCTACCCTTGAGATTGGGCACACAATATGAAAACAGCCCCTAAAAAGCTTAAATAGAAATCGAAAAAAAGGTTTCTGAAACATCCTGTGCAGTCCCACCATCCTTATGTGACCTGGGCAGAGGCCAAGCCACCTGAGAAGGTAGCATCAGGTTCATGCCCCACAGGAAAGGAAATGTGGATCACATGGAGGAGTGACAAGGACACATTCTTCATGCCAAAGCACCAAGCACACCTTGGTGCCAATCTCCTAGAAAGCAAGCTGAATCCCAGCGTGCTGTGTGGAGTGCTGGGCAGTCCAGGGAGCAGGATGGTGCCCTGGGGCCCTGCTAGTTAGAGTACCCAGAATAAGCATTTTTTTTTTTTTTAAAGATTTTCTGAACACCACCTTTGGACAGAGTTGTATATGTATTATAGCATATCACCTTCAGAGTATTCTTTTTCCAGAATTGCAAATAAGATATTCCTAGGTTTTACACCAAAACTAAAACAGAATAGCCAGGGATGAGGGCACTCCCATGTTTCCCATGGAGGTAGTGATTTAGTGTCTCAGGACTGTGGAACTTTCATGGAAGCACATTGTCAGCCCACGTGGCACAGGGCTTTTCATCTGAGCATGCTGACTGCTTGGCCAGCAGCAGACGCACAATCATGCATATCACCAGTGGCTTGAGTGGTCCCCCTGCAGGAGGGAAACCTCTGGAAGACACATTTCCCAGCCTGCGGTTAACTCGCACCACCAAGCAGTTTCTAGCAGGGAGGTCATGCTGCTCTGGAATTCGCCCTGCCTGGGCATCAGGGCCCCTGGGCTCTAGCCCAGCTGTGGCCATTACTAGCTCAGTTTCTCAGCTAAGTCTCTGGGCCTGTTTTCTCATCTGTAAAACGGGAGCAAAAATACTGCCCTGCCTGCCTTATGTTCTCAGAGCAAATGAGCTGCTGAATGAAGTACCTTAAAAAGTGCCAAGTGCTGTGCCAATGTAAAGTAGGATAGATAGTAAAGAGAGGCAGTGTGTGCCAGGAGGGGAGGGGCACCGCAGCTGCCTAGTCATGGGACCAGTTTCTCTGCCCACTGTAGCCCTTTCTTATTTTCTACTGGCTGTCCCCGATCCTGGGCCAGAAGCATAATTCCACTGCACACGGCAGCCCTTTTCCCTTTGATGGACTGTTTTACCAGAGCTGCTGCTCCCTTCCCAGGGGCAGCTCCCTTCTCAGGGGCTCCATGGTTCGAAGCATGTCACACATAACCTCGTTTAGTTAAACTCTGTGTCAGAGAGCATTCTCTTTCTAGATTCTTCCTGGGTCCTTATTGTACAATGCTTGAGCTAGGATAAGTTGCCACATTCATGAGTGCATTGCATAGCTTCAGAAACTGGCAGTAATATGGAGAAAGAAAAATACTTAGTTGAATCAAACTGAATATTGAGGGACCTCCACAAGAGGTAGATTAGCAGAGTTAGTTGGTGCATGTGACCACACAGGAACAATACAGCTCAGAAGGGAGCATCAGATCTTCTGACTAGTCATCCCTCCATATCTGTGGGGGATTGGTTCCAGGACCTCCTGCAGCTACCAAACTCCGCAATGCTCAAGTCCCTAATATGAAGTGGTGAAGTGCTGCACATCACCTCGGCACATCCTCCGTATACGTTAAGTCATCTCTTGATTGCTTAAAATACCTAGTACAGTGTAGATGGCATGCAAATAGTTGTTATACTGTATTGTTCAGGGAATAATGACAAGAAAATAAAATCTATACATGGTCAAGAAAGACACAATAATTTTTAAAAAATATTTTCAACCTGACGTTTGTTGAATCCATGGGTGTGGAAACCACGGACATGGAGGGCCGGCAGTAATTCTTTCATTCTGCAAATGGAAAAAATGAGGCCCGAGGAGTGACATGGCTTGCCAGTACCTGCAGCTGGTTGGTGGCAGCATGGCATCTAGAACAGTCTCCCTGAGCCTGCTCCAGGCCTCTCTCCCATCACATCCCCACCATGTCCCTGGGGGCTGCAGCACTGAGCAGCAGGGTGTCAGTGCCGACCCTGTGGCTCACGTTGGGATGTATTTTGAAACACATCACTGAAGTTGTACAATCAGCCTGACTTGGATGGTTCTTCTTGTAAACGTCTGTCTAGTTTCCTTTAATTTCATATATTTTAATGAGAAAGTAAAAAACTCAATAGTGAAGGGCAAGGTCTAGGGAACATTATTTCCTAGAAGGGAAAATAATGTTAATCAGGAGTTCAACGTTCTTTGTCCTAATGTTTTTATTCATGAAGGCATTTCACACAGAAGAGAAAACTCAATTATGCACACACATTATATTTTAAAATATAAAGAAAGCATGTTCTGGAGCCACTGTAATACCTCCACAGTGTTTCCTTCTATTAGAGGAGCTGAATGTAGATCCCTCATAGAGCCTGGGTGGGGAGGCTACCCTGTCCTAGGTGCAGATGTCACTCTGACCACCTCGTTGGTTTGGTCTTTGACTGTCACATTGTGTTACAGAATTGTACAATGGACAATCTAGAGAGCAGAACTCTTAACAGCCTTTTAATGGAAATGTCCCTGAATTTACTGCCAACAATTGCTTTCCTATGAGGCCAGAATGGAAACAGAACCCAAAGCTCCCCTAAGTTAGCGGGGCAGCCCGACCAGGAAGCTGCTCTGTGCCGAAGCTCACAGACTTTGCAGAAGGATTGGGGAAGAGAAAAACATGGACACGTACCTAGAATGAGGCCAAGGAGGGGGTCAATGTGCTGCTCACAGTTTTCTTTGCTCCCTCTTACATTGGCCTTTAAATACCCACTAATTTTGTCTTCAAGCCAACTACTGGTGTACACATGTGACTCTCCTTTAGATGTTTGATCTTCCTTCCTCTGGAGTACGGGAGGGGAGCCTGATAGGACACCTAGTATCAGCGGCATCAAAGAAGAAACAGCTTTCTGTATTTAAGCAAAAAATGTTTCAAAAGGATCAATTTCTCAAGTTGCATTTGTGGAATGCCTTTTGTGTTTCTTGCCTTATGGATTTTCATATTTGGGGATAGGAAGATAAGTCGTTATTTTTGAATATTGGGGTATTTTGGTCAGGTTAAAAACTATGATTACTAGTAATTGTAGTACCAGCAGCAGCAGTAATACCAAGAAGGAGAAAAAGAAACAGTGCATCCTCGTTATGCATTTTCAGCAGATAACAAATCTGTGTAGTACAGGAGGCCTGCTGCTCAGATGCCCCCATTCAGTAAACCTAGGAAAGGAATGGTATATCCGAGCCCAGAATGTTAAAAAACAGCCAGAGCCAGAGCAAGCTGAAGTTAGAACCCACCAACATCCACTAACCCATTAATGCAACCACACAAAAACTAACTGCTTTACAAAACAGACTTCAGAAGGACAACTATCCTTATTGTCTGTTCATGTCAGTAGATGCCAGCAGGATTCTTACACTGTGCATGGGATCCTCCTCTGACTCTGCTTTTAGAGTTCCCAGCAGATCTAATGAGAGGTTCACATTTAAGAGAGGACAGCGTGTAGAATGTTTGGTTTGGAATGTGCAAGGCGCTTTAAAAATAGTTCTGAATGAGAAGTAGCCAAGCAAGGACACCGGTCAGATTTCAGATATAAATGAAACCAAGCCTGTGCCCAGAGGATTGAGTTTCTGGGTCAGAAATCTCAAAGAGCTCTTCTTCCTGGCTCCTCCTCTTATCCTTTAATCAAGGAAGCACACAAAGCATTTGTGATCCCTTATGTCTCAGCTGTGACATACCACCACAATAAAATTACATGGGGTTTTATGCCAAGTATTTGTACACGTGTGTAGGTCTACTCATTCTCTCCCAGTGTCAGCATAGTGTTTGGCACTTAGTGGGCACTCGATAAATGTTTTTGGTTTTTTTTTGGTCTTTTTTCTTTTTTCGTGACCAGTAAGGGGATCGCAACCCTTGGTGACACCCGCACCGCACTCAGCCAGTGAGCGCCCCGGCCATCCCTATGTAGGATCCGAACCTGCGGCGGGAGTGCTGCTGTGCTCCCAGTGCTGCACTCTCCCGAGTGCGCCACGGAATCGGCCCCTATACCACTTTTGAAAGAAGTGGTGACAAAACTGACCAGGACCAAATGGAACTCACGAGAAAATGGAGTCATGGTAGTGGAGATAGAATAGAGTCCTAGTGTAAGAAGCACTGCTAGCCAGTATAGTGAGTCTGATGAACAGCATTTCTTTTTTTGTT